TGGTCGACAAGAGACTTTTTTTTGTGAACAACTTGGTCATGAACCGAATTGTTCGAGATGGAAGACATTCGAGAAACGAGGTTTGACTAACTCTAACCCCATGGTCGGCAAACTGGGGCTCGCAAGCCACATGCGGCTCTTTGGCCCCTTGAGTGTGGCTCTTCCTAAGCCTTAGGGGTACCCTAATTAAGTTAATAACAATGTACCTACCTATATAGTTTAAGTTTAAAAAATTTGGCTCTCAAAAGAAATTTCAATCGTTGTACTGTTGATATTTGGCTCTGTTGACTAATGAGTTTGCCGACCACTGCTAGAGCACGTGAAGGGAAGAGCACCAGTAAAAGTAACAGGTAATTTCTATAAAAGACAGGATACATGTATTTTTTATTGTGACATTTCCCCTCCTATTAGATTTAAAAGGAGACTTCATAAAGCAATAGCAGGTCTGTTGATGGGAATGCAATATATAAAAATGTAATTTGTACAACAATAGTACAAATGAGGTGGAGGGGATGGGACTACACACGGGATGGTATTTACCCAAACTGCGTTGTTAATTGTAATTCCTAGGGCAACCACGAAGAAAATAGATAATAACATATATTTATGACTATGAAACTACAAGGAAATTACAATGGTATTCTGGAAAGTCTCTACAATATTCACAGGCCCTGTGCTAGGAGCTGGGGAACCAAGGAGTTGGAGACACACCGGTAGGCCCCGTCTCTGCTGTGGTCACATCTAGTCCAGTAACACTCAGTACACACAACACAACGACCGAGCTGACCGTGGTGACACGTGCTGCGCTGTGATAAATCCCGGGGCTCTGACAGGTGTGCAGAGCAGAGCCCACGTGGAGCCCCGGCGGAAGAGAAGCCTCGGGAAGGGGCAGCCTGGGCAGAGGGCGGCGGCACAGAGGTGTGGGGGGGGAAGAGCTTTTTCCCGGGAAGCGACTGGGCCCAGGGTGAGGGGAGCCTGGCCTCGCTGGCAGGTGAGGTTGAGTCAAGCAGCACAGCTCAGCTCAGGCGGGGCCTCGAGGACAGTCAGCGCGGCTGTGGACATGATTAAAGGACTCTCAGCCAGGGAGTAACACAAGACTGTGTTTTCAACAAGGTGACTTGTAAGTCCTTTGGAGGGTGAGCTATGACAGGCCAGCGTGCAGAGGAAGTGGGCGGAGGCAAGCGCGGTCCAGGAGGCAGGGCCTTAGCCTTTGCTGGACTGGGTGGGCTGGGGAGTGTGTAGGAAAGAGGTAGAGAACGGCCCCAAATCCCCAGCTTTAGTAACTGGCGGACAATGGTGTTTTCCCGAGACAGGGTCTAGGGGAGGCCCAGGTTTTCAAGGAAAATCAAGAATTTAATTTCCTAATAAATTGGAGACGCCTATGAGGCATTAAGACAAGGTAAGTCTGGAATCCACAGAAGTCAGGGTAGGAGAGGCAAATTTCGGTCTTCAGGTAACAAGGTAGTGAAAGCTACGTGACTGGATAAAATCAAGGAGCGGGTGGATAGGAAAGGGGCCCGTTTAGAGGACACACACACAGTGAGCTGGGGGGACAGGGGGTTGGGCTGTCAGGGAAACAGGCGTCCAAAGAAAAGCAGTTGTCACCTGTCTGCAATGCGAAGGGTCAAGGAAGAAACCAGAAAGCACCCATTGGATTTGGCGACAAGGGGGTGATGAGCAATTCAGGCGAGAGCGCCCTGTGACACGCCGGGGACTGGCAGGCTCGAGAGGTAAGAGTGGACAGATAATTCAGTCTTAGTAAAATCTCACCGCATTAATTTAAATTTGTGTAATTTGCATTTATTATGATTTGTGATGGAGTTCTAAATGTCTAGTTTTATATTTGCACTTAAAGAACTTGAATAAGTTTCAAGACTGCGTTACCTTTTATGACACAATGCTTTGTCACTGATTTTAGACTCATTTCGATTTCAAACATGTTAAGAGGTAAAGAAGGCTCAGAAGTGATGAAATACAGTATTAAATAACAAAACATTTAAGTCAAACCTGGCCGTTGCAAGAATTTCTTCAGCTCGGATAATACGTTAGCATCTCGGACACAGAAGGCATTTGGTTGACCTTGGCCAATTACTACCAGGGCTAAGGCAGTGTCCCTCCATGTAGGTAAGGTGCCACCTTCTCCACAGGGGGAACATGAGTGAACAGAACCCTAGTGCACGACAGGTTCTACCACCCCCACCCCCACCATCGGGGGGCAGGGATAATGAGCAGCCCATCACGGAAAGTCCTGAGCTACACCGCCACTCGGAACCTAACAAGCTCAGGCCATCAGGGGAGTGAACCAACGGTCCGGTGGACAGGATCGCTGCCCTGGGGAGCAGGATGGACCTACCCTGCGGTGTCCTGTGGGAACCCTGGTCAGAGTAGGCCAGATGCTCAAGGCCGATTTAAGTGTGGGGGCCTTGTCCAGAGCACAACAGATGTTCAAGGCCAATCTGAGTGTGGGAATCCTAATCATGGTGTTCAAGGCTAAGTTGCTATACGCAGGTGCAAAGCAAGGACACAACAATCTACACACGGCGCAGGCGTGCCTTTCTGCAGCCCCAACTGTTTGGCACAACGCCTCTCGTCTGAGCTTGTTTATGCATGTATGTAAGTGGCCACTGACCAGCCAGCACAGGGCTGTGTTATGGGGAAGATGTATTACTGGCCGGCCGGTGCCCGGCTGCCTGGTCGGGCTCCTGTTTGTGTAGCTCCTGTGTTGGGAGGCTGCTTTTACGTAGGGCTATGTGTACAGCAGCTGCTTGGTATGGCTCCTGTGTTTGCCACTGTGTTTGCCATGGCTGCTGTGTGAGACTCCTTTGAAGAGCTACTTTGTCTAGTGGCTACTTGGCTACCACAAAGACTGTCTTCCATACCTACCACTTCTCGCGTTTTCTCTGTCGCGGAGGCCCAGTTCCGTGTAGAGGGGCTCGGACCCCACAGTTGGCGTAGGTGAGCAGGTCAAGGAAGAACCTGCTCCCATGTCCCCAGGTTTGGGGTCAAATGCAAGCTCTACAAGGGTTCACATTTCTGTTGTGTTTGACACTTAGAACAGTGTCCAGCACATAGTAGGTGCTCAGAAAATGTGAACGGTACACACACAGGATATCACAGTGCCGCCCAGCAGGAGACCCAGCCCTATAGGCCCTCCCTGTGCAGTGAACTGTTTCCAGGTGCATGGCCCACGGAAGCGCACGCCCACAGACAGCTTCAGAGAAGGCTGACGGTGACCCGGCCCAGAGTCAACGTGTCCATACACTGAGCACCGAGTCTTACATCAGGCCTAAGAACAAGCCCTGTTAACAAGTCACGATACTATATTGTCAAAATTTATTTATTTAAAAAGTATTTGGTGGAGGTCTCCTAAAGCTCCAATTTCATCCTGGAATGACGAGACAAATACTTAAACGACCCAAAATAATGGCATATTCTAAAAGCAATTTTTCATTAAAAAATTAGTCACAAAGCAAAAGTACATTTTGTTAGTAACATTTCCTAATGATAGCAATGCCCTGTGAAATTTAACTGGGACGGGCATTCAACGCACAGCTGGGCTTGAACCGACTTCCAGTGAGTGGGAGCTGCCACATCAGACCCGCTCTCCTTCGGCTGCGCCTCTGTGCAGGCGGGAGGCATGCGGCTGGGCCTGGAGAAGGTTCATGAAGCCCCCCACACCCCACTTACTGGGCAATAGTCCCTGTTCTTTAAACTACTGGAGGTTTGGGGATGGTGACAGGCAAATATCTACGCTCTAGGTCAGATGCTGTCTGCACGGGACATAAAGCACAACATCGGGAAAAGAGCCCATGGCATTCTAATAGCATGTGTGGTGTCAGGGGTGCGAGTCACCAGGCGGGTGAGCACTTAGCAAGTTATGCAATGGTTAGTCACTGGGTGGACACCTGAAATTAACATAATGTATATCAACCGTAATTGAAAAATAAAAATAACGAAGTAAATTAGATCCCGTCTGCCATGGACATCAAGCTAAACATAAGGAGGGACAATAGCCCTAGCCAGTTTGGCTCAGTGGATAGAGCATTGGCTTGCATACTGAAGGGTCCCAGGTTCGATTCTGGTCGAGGGCACATGCCGGGGTTGCAGGCTTTATCTCCAGTAGGGGAGTGCAGGAGGGAGCCAATCGATTCTCTCTCATTGACGTTTCTCTCTGAAATCAGTAATATATTTAAAAAAGGAGGGATAATAAGTGTCTCTAACATCTCTTTCCTTCATGCAGCTGAGATAAGCAGTTGGGCGAGAAGGCTTTGCCAAGTAACTGCCACAGCCCCCCCTGCAGGAAGCCCTCCAGTCAAGGCTGGGATGGGGGCCTCTGAGGGTGGAGAGAGAACAGCCATTACTGGGAGTGACTCCCTCACAGACCCCCAAGGCCACTCAGCTTTAGTGAAGAGAGACCCCTCCCCAGTTCCGGCAGTCACCCCCACCGTCACTGCCACCCAGTGGGCCCCGCGGGCCTCCACCTGTGGCCACATCCTCTGCCAGTTCCTGGAATCCAACCTGAGCCGTCCTGGGGGCCAGGAAGGAGCCCTCACCGGACATGGTTTTCTTTAAAAGCCACACTAAGTAGTGCGAGGGACTACGGTTTGCAGCTATTTTATTTACAAGTATACATTTAACACAATGAAATAAACACTGATATATGGAAGCCTAGTTAATAGTAGTGTAACAATATGCATCTTTGATGATTACATTATTTTAAACATCAAACTACACTTAAAAATTAATGCCGATAAAATTCTTGGTCATAATATTATTAAGAAATACAATATATAAATTGAAAATATGATTGCTTAAAATTCGAAAGTGGAAGTGAACTCAGAAGGATAGTCAGAGTTCAACATAATCTGAAAGGGGGGCAGGTGGGAAAAAGCTCTGACCCAAATAAATCTTTCAGGTTAACAGAAGGAAAACGAAGCAGAGTTTATCTTCGAGGATGACGGGCAGTTTGCGTCTCCGGGCAGGACGGGTCCCAGTGGCCTCGGGCCCACAGCAGAATTACATCACCGAGCAGGAAGACTTTCCTTGTGAAGCGGCCCCATCAATTTTTTCTGCCTCCAAAATTATCCTTCTGAAAACATCAACAGCAGTCTGAAAAAGAAATAAAACGCGACTGTGTTGGTTTTACAGCGGAAGCCTGAGACTCACTCTTACCGCTGCTGCCGGGCCTGGAGAAGGCCCGCTGTCCGCCCCGCAGCTGCAGGCACAAGCGCGGAGGCCAAGGCCACCCCACAACCCGGAGACTGGTCTTCCTTCCTCCCCACCTGACCTGAGACCTGAACTAATCTTCTCTCGTGCTTCTGATCTTGCCTTCATGGTCACCACAGGGAGGGGTCGGCTCCAGCCCGGCCCGCCCCCCGGTGCCTCTGGATTTCCAGGTCCAGCACCAGCCTAGCCACCTCCCTGAGGGCTGTCCTTTCCCTCCGACACTGCTTCCCAGGGCCATGCTCCCTCTTTCTGGCACCCCGGGGCCTAAGGCCGGCCAAACCCTCATTCTTGCTGCCCTTCCTCCGAACCTGTTTCCTCCCACTCCCTTAAACCTGTGTTGACACTTATGCCATGAGAGGGCATTTTTCACCTTTGAGCCCGATCCTTCCGAGCCACTTTCCCTTCCTTCACTGTCTGCAGACCCAGCAGCCTGGCCTCCCAGAGCCCCCCAGCCCCTCACAGGAGGAGCACTGCCCCTTTGGACAGGAAACCCTCCCTTATGCTGAACAGTGGTGAGGACCACCAGTGCCTGTCCTGTAAGTTGCTCACTGTGATGATGAAAGAAACCCGTTCTCAAAAGCCTCGGGGGCAGTCCTAGATCTCGACACCGCAGCAGCCACCCAATGTTAAGTCTCCCACCACCTCACCGTCCTTTCCACTTTCAATAGCCTCAACTCAACAATCCTCGGTCCCACAGGGACCTGCCTCCCCGATCCGACCACCTTCTCCCTGTCCCTCAGCCACTTTCTCGTTCACTTTCCTCCTGGGGCCAGCAGACTCCACAGTCCACCATCGTGCTCATGGACGTGGACTCCCTCTCTGCCAAGAGCCTGCGCGGTGCCTGCACCACACCCAGTGCAGCCTGGGAACACGCCGCGACAGCTGTCACCTCCAGGACCGTGAATGAGTGGACCCTCGATGCCACCCAGCAGCCCAGCTCATGTCCCTCATCCAGTCATTCCCCCAGATGAAGGTTTCATGTCTTCCCTTCCCTCTGAATTCCTAAAGCCTCCCCATTCCGTGGTGACTGTTTTATATTTCACCAGGAAAACAGAATCGACATCCAGAGACCGCCATGTACCCTATGGGCTCATCTACTCTGGGGTCCCTTCTCTCCGACTGGTAGGAAGCAGGACTCCTGGTCAAGCCAAAGCCAGCCACAGGCCCAGCCCTCCTGTCTCACTGAGCCACTGCTTCAGCAACCCTCCCCTCCTCCTCCAGACTCACCCCCCTCACGTCCCATGGTTACACAAACAAGCTATTTATTTCATTCTGAAAATAATGCACAGAAAAATGTTGGGAATGACACTTGCCAAACTTTTACCAAGAAAATAGTGTGTCTGGAACCGGGCTTTCTAGATAAATCTTACAACTTAGTAATCCATGTAATCTGATTGTCAAAAAATATTCTCTTTCATCAAATTGCTGAGCTATAGCCGAAGGTCTCCATGGTAAATAAACCAAACTGCAAACGTTCCCAGGCTCCATTAACAGTTAAAATGCAGTATTCTCACAGACTTGGCAATTTTTACTACCATGATGTTATCAATGAAACCGAACACTGCTGAGGTAAGTTTTTTTTTGATATATTGGATTTTTGGCAAGTAATACAAATTACTTGAAAATCTATCAATAAAATTTGGATCAGTTCACAGGAACTGGTCTCTGGTCACAATCAGCCGTGGGCAAACTACGGCCCGCTTGAAATGAATAAAACTAAAAATAAAAAAAGACCGTACCCTTTTATGTAATGATGTTTACTTTGAATTTATATTAGTTCACACAAACACTCCATCCATGCTTTTGTTCCGGCATCTCCGGTCCAGTTTAAGAACCCATTGTGGCCCTCGAGTCAAAAAGTTCGCCCACCCCTGGGTCACATGACCACTTGGGTGTGGGTGTGTGAGTGCACACTAGACAGATTTCTCTCCCTACTACACAAATAGTAGTAAGCATTCCAGTATGTGTGGGGATTAGAATCACTCCAGCTCTATGTCAGGGATTAGAATTACTCATTTTCTCCCCACCTGACTTGGAGACATTCACTAGGCTTAGGGCTCTCTCATCATCTCCTGCACATTCAAAGAGGATGTAAGCAGGAGTGTCCCACGACATGACAGAGTGAGAACCATTTAGAATGCCACTGAGGGATCTGCTCAGGACCTGCTTCCCAAGGACATGCATGTCTCCAATGCATGCACCTAACTTGGGTGTAACAGTCTTTTTGCTTTAAAGGGTTCACTTCAGGCCTGATGATGATGGTGCGAGAGCAGCCCCAGACAGTGAGCAATGGGAACGCCTGACCTCAGCGCTTGTCTGCCTACGTCGGCAGCACATTCACCCTTTATCTGGGTCTTCGAAAGCAGTTCACCACCTTCTAAAGGAACTGAAGGATTAACGGGCAAACCTATCCAGAACCACATTAAACCCTTCAGCTACAGTAAAGCACAACACAAACTGGAGAAAAGGCCTGCACCCTGAAACCAAATAACACTCTTTAAGCTAACCATTCAAGTTACTCTCAAAAACACAAATTAACCTGAGCCATGCTCCCTACTCAGCAATCCCTCTTAACACACTGGAGGTAGCTCCATAAGGCATTTACACTCCTGAGGCTGCTGGAAGGATTAGTAACTGCCAGACACACACTGAGAAGTGGTTACACCCACCTACATGAACAGTCCACACTGCTGCTGCCGCCTCCTGAACTCTACTGTCAAACAGAACAACTGCTTTAAGACCCTCAGTTTTTCACCAAAGAGAAGCAAGCACAGTGAAGTCAGCAAACAGAATTGAACACAGCTTGAGGCCAACCATTCAACTTCACTCCCCCACCTCACAAGTTTTCAATTATACAGAACAACAGAAAGAACTGTACAAGAACCACCTAGCCCCACTGGCTGGATTCAGCAAATATCAACATCTTCGCTGTATGTATTTGTTCTCTTTTTCTCTATCCATCTTCCCATCCCATTTGACAGTAAGTTGCTGACATTATGAAACTTTGCTCCTAAATACTTTGGTTTGCATTTCTCAAGAACAAAGATATTCTTGTCATAAGCCCAATACCATTACCACACCTAAAAAAATTAACACCATTTTCCTAATATATAAAAAACGTAATCCAATCTCCCCAACTAACCAAAAATGTCTTGGACATGAGGAACTCAGGTGCACACAGCTTCATCCAGAATAGTCCGCCTCTCCCCAAGCAGACCCGAGTCTCTGCTACACTTGGTCATGCACACGGCCGCCTCGTCCCACCCAGGTGAGTCTAGACTTACTTCCGTAGCAGCCTTTAGTATAAAACAAACACGATAATGCATGTTCACAAAGGCAGTATTTCCTTTACTATCAATTTCTGTTTATCCTACAATTATTCCAGGTCCCATGAGGTTGAACACTGGCTGAAATAAAACAGATGGTGTCTCCCTGAGGCAACCCAAGCCTGATGGGAGGGATGGTGGGAGGGTCAGGATTAAACAGGAGCAATGAAGACAGTGCTGAGCTGCTAACAGGAGCACAGGCCTGGACTGGTGGGATGCAGTGCAAAGTGAGCTTTAAAAATACCTACTTGATTCTCTTTAGCAGAAGATTCCAAAAAAGCTGCATTCCAAGATTCTGCTAACGCCTTCCCTTCTTCATAACTGATCACCCTAAAGGACAAAAATTCTCATTAAAGAGCTTTACTCTTTACTTTATAAAACATCTACTGTACTTGGGTTTCTGAAACAGGCTCCGTGTTTATGAAGTTTCTCTTCCTGGAGCAGGTGCATGCTCCGTTCAGTGCCCTCAGCTGGGGAGCACTCTATTTCTACACTGTACAGCCCCCTTCAGTGCTCACGGCCCAAGGGTAAGGAGGCCGGGCAATGGTTTGAGGCTGTAACTTCCTCTGGCATGGGTCCACTATGAGAGGCCCACAGACAAGGGCCCCCCATAAATCATGACCATGCATCACTCCCACCTGAGCCGGGGAACAGACAGACACTGTCTTATGGGAGTACTAGTACTCACGCCCCGGCAGCCCTCACAGCTCACAGGAGGCATTTACCAACACCCCAACATCTGAGAGAGAGCTGCACGTGCCCGAGGACAGGGGCAACCCCCAAAGGGCCATGGCTATGCTGCGCACAGGTTGCCAGCATCCGGCCGGCGTCTCCTGCCGGCGGGGCCACTGCTAATCCTAACCCTGCACTCAAAAAACAATTTGTTGAATAAATGAACGCTCCCATTGTCATGTTAGTGTCTGCTTTGCACAGAATGATAGAAGAAACGAAAGATAATTTTCTACAGTGTTTGCTCCCCCTCTTCTCCAGGAAACATTTTTCAAGGCAGGTGAGTTGGCTTCTGCCAAGCAGCACCGCGCACCTCCCTGAACACAGAACACAGGCGCCGCAGCTAAAAACCCGCCGCCGGCGAACAACGGCACCCGTGACTTCTGGGACTAAACATCTCAGGCTCAATTCTATGAATTAGCAATTATTAGAAGTGACATACCTTTCCATATGTAGGTCTTTCTTATTCCCAACCAACATAATAGGTATTCTGTTAATATAAGAAAGGCAAAGAAAACGAGTCAGTTTGTCCAGAAGGTGCTATTGGAAAGTGTATCTAACGATAGAGAAAAATGTTCCTACTTACTGCACTTTCCCCACCATGTCCAACAACTTGCCATGGATAACTTTAATCACTTCAAAACTATAAAAGGAAAAACATGAAATCAGACATCCAATTTAATTTTTTTTAAAAATATATTTTTTATTGATTTCAGAGAGGAAAGGAGAGGGAGAGAGGGATAGAAACATCAATGGTGACAGAGAATCATTGATTGGCCGCCTCCTGCATGCATTGGGGATTGAGCCTGCAACCCAGGCATGTGCCCTTGACTGGAATTGAACCTGGGATCCTTCAATCTGCAGGCCAATGCTTTATCCACTGAGCCAAACCAGCTAGGGCAGACATCCAATTTAGTGTTCAGGTTTTAAATGTTTATTATGTAAAGTTTTAGTGAGAAACACAGAAAATGTCAGATTCACCATTTTAATAAAAATAAACCGAACACAAAGAATTCCTTTCTTTTTCCTACCAATATGTCACATGTACATGTATTTGACACTCAGTAACCCCAATTGGGAACATTCAAAATGAAACAGGTCTGACATTTAATGGTAAAAGTCTAACACTGAGCCGACAAGCCACAAAATCTCTGAATAAACATTTGTCGAACATTCCTTAGCTAGAGGGCCCCAGCAGTCAGCCCTGTTCCACATTTACATGATGGAAACACAGAAAAGTAGTCACTGTGCATTCCCTATTTCCATCCGCAGACAAGCTCAGACGGTGTCCAATCACCATTTACCTAGAACATCGATCAGGATACTGTTTTTCCTTTAACAACCTGTTTGTCCCACAAAACGTTTAGCTTAGTAATTAAGCCTAATTGTTACCACACCAATTCCAGCATAATCCTTTATAAGGATTAATGCTATCTCTGCATAGCAAATAAACTCAAGCAAGGAAGAGGCGTTGAGTCTTACCTTTTGATAGATGTCACAGAATACACGAGAATATAACCATTAATATCTATGGAGTACGTCTGGGGAAAGATGGAATATTCATCCTGTGGAAGAAAAAGGATTACACTTGGCATAACAAGCAATCTTCACCCAAAGTTCTTCACATATTTCCTGGTCAAAGAAATCAAAGTAAACAAAATGTGGATTACAATATTATTCTAGAAACATAGTCCACACACTCAAGATTTACTTAAGACTGGTCTGGGGGTGATCATGTACTTTAAGCCAATATTAAAAACTGACTCCTGTAAACCTTGGGAGGAGAGGATGTAAGGAATGAAAAGATGACTGGTTTGTGTTCTCTTTTATGGATGGAAGTCCAGAACCTCTCAGACCTCAGAGAAAATTCCCAAATGCCACTGGTTTACCCCACACATCTGTACTTTCCTACATGAAATAGTTATATATCACGTGCCCTGTTTTCTGTGTGTCACAATGGCCTGAGCACTGATCACTGGATTTCTGAAACAGGCTCTGTGTTTATGAAGTTTCTCCTCCTGGAGCGTTCAGTGCCATCAGCTGGGGAGCACTCTATTTCTACACTGTACAGCCCCCTTCAGTGCTCACAGCCCAAGGGTAAGGAGGCTGGGCAATGGTTTGAGGCTGCAACTTCCTCTGGCATGGGTCCACTATGAGAGGCCCACAGACAAGGGCCCCCCATAAATCATGACCATGCCTCACTGGCTGGGTGACCACCAGCACTCAAGAGAGAGGGGAGAAGAGAATGGAGAAACTATAGAGTGAGTACCCAGACATCTGAGGATGGAATGAGTTGTTTACTGAGCAGCTCTAGGAATTAAAAACAAAGGTACAGCCCTAACCGGTTTGGCTCAGTGGATAGAGCGTCAGCCTGCGGACTCAAGGGTCCCAGGTTTGATTCCAGTCAAGGGCATGTACTTTGGTTGCGGGCACATACCCAGTGAGGAGTGTGCAGGAGGCAGCTGATCGATGTTTCTCTCTCACTGATGTTTCTAACTCTCTATTCCTCTCCCTTCCTCTCTGTAAAAAAAATTAATAAAATATATTTAAAAAACAACAAAACACAAAAGTACACATTGTGCAACAGGGTACTGGCACCCAGTTTTATATGGCTTTATGAAACTGCTTTAGATCTGGAATTATCAAAGCACAGAGAGGCTAACGTCAATGCAGCCTTCATCAGTGCACACCCCTGCCTGGTACAAATATGTTGCTCTCAGTTGAAACAGAACTGTCCACATACTGCACACACCAAACACTATTATAGAAAAATCAGGGCAAGTAACTGTTAACTTTGCAATTCCACAGTATGGTTACAAGTAGTGTCCATGACAACCCTGAATTTCTGCCCTATGGTAAAGTGTCTTTTAAAAACAAAGAAAAATTTAGTTGTCCTATCAACTCTCTGATATCAAAATAGTGGTCATTAATCAGAAAATAGCACTTCTACATCACAGAGCTTACTAACTATGCAAAATAAAACCTTTATTTTCCTTATTAGTACAACTTTTATTAAGGTGAATTTATTTTAGTGTTGATTTTTAAAAAATATGTTTTTATTGATTTTAGAGAGAGAGGAAGGAAGAGAGAGAAAAACATTGACCAGCTGCCTCCTATAACACCCTGTCCTGGGGCTCGAGCCCACAACCTGGGCATGTGCCTTGACTGGGAATTAAACCAGTGACCTTTTAGTTCATGGGACAATGCTCAACCAACCGAGTTGCTCCGGCCGGTCTTAGTGTTGATTTTTGAAAACAAATTGTTAATGGAATGACAGATCTTTCTACCCAGATTAAAAACAAAATTCCAAATGATTTTAGTCACCAGCTCAGCTACAGTGGCTCCAAAGTTCACATTATGTTTCCTCTGAAGGGAAGATGTGAAAAAAAAAGAGTAATCCTATTTAAATTGGCGCAAGCAACAACTAGTTAGAAAGTATAATGGAGGAACAGATCCTCTGCTGTAGCAGTAACCAAAAAGTCAACATTCCTAGGAACAAACTGAAGGAAACAAAAATATATGCTTCATTTAAAGAAAATCTTAAAATACTCCTGAGATAAAGGACTTAAATAAATGGAACAGCGAGCATGGCTGTCTTTAGCAAGAATATGCAGAATTGTAAGGATATCCACCGATTAACCCTACATTAATATATAAATGTAACATGATGCTGGACAAAAAGCATACGTTTGTTGTTAATCCTCACCTGAGAATATTTTTTCCATTGATTTTTAGAGAGAGTGGAAAGGAAAGGGGAGAAGAAAGAGAGGTAGAAACATCGATGTGGGAGAGACACATCAATAGGTTGCCTCCCACCCATGCTCCAACCAGGGCCAGGGATTGAACCTGCAGCCCAGGTACGTGCTCGTGACTGGGAATGGAACCTGAGATCCTCTGGTGCTTAGGCCCACACTCTAACCGGGGCAAGGGCAAAAAGCATACTTCCTGACAAAGAAAACCAACTGTGGAGGCAGGTGGGTGGGAACCACAGAGCTGCAGTAATCAAAGTAGCGCAGTGCTGGCTCATGAATGGAGCTGACTGAAAATTCTACAAGAACCAACAGATATGGGAATTAGGTATATGATAATGTTGGCATTCAAATCAGGAAGGATACAAAGTAACACATAGGGAACAAATGTGGAGCCATCTGGGGGAAATGGCTAAACTGGATGCCTACCTCACACCTTAGCAAACACGTATTCCGGAGGAATCAGACTTAAAGATAAAAGTTGAAGCTGCGCATGGCAGACCGGAGAATTTAAATGGAAAACAAAACCTTGTCGCTCAGCTCATGTACCAAATGCTAATTTTCTTCAAATCAATGAGACCAACCAGCTAATAGAAAAAGGGGAAAGTACATGAATAGGCATGATAGTTCACAGAAAAGTTGGATGTCCTCAAATAGGGAAAAATAGGATCAAACTCCTTCATAAACACTAATTAAAATGACAGATACTAATTTCCACCTAGCAGATGGATAGATATAAAAAATTTGGTAACACACTGTGTTGGTGATTCACTACTGGTGAGAATATAAACCATGACCCTATGGCCCAGCAATCTCACACCCAGGCATGTTCTTACACACATACCATCTGTCTAAAACTGGGGTGGGCAAACTTTTTGACTCGAGGGCCACAATGGGTTCTTAAACTGGACCGGAGGGCCGGAACAAAAGCATGGATGGAGTGTTTGAGTGAACTAATATAAATTCAAAGTAAACATCATTACATAAAAAGATACGGTCTTTTTTTTTTTTTTTTTTAGTTTTTTTCATTTCAAACGGGCCGAATCTGGCCCGCGGGCCGTAGTTTGCCCACGGCTGGTCTAAAATAACAGTGTACAATGGAGGCACTAATGGCAGGAGAGACTGGAAACATTTGGTTACATGATGATATAGCTCAAATAACAGGACATTATGCAGCCATGGGGAAAACAAAAAGAGGCCGCATGCACTGATATGGGGTAATCTCCAAGAATGAGACATAGATCTGTGTTACTTTGTTGGGTACAAACAAACAAACAAAAACCTTAAAACTATACTTGAATGTTGATGATAAAATATCTTGGAAGCAAATACTAGAAATTGATAATGGGAGTTGCTGTTGGGGTGAAGCTAAGGTAGCTAGAGAGGGAAAGACTTAAGGTTTACTATTTGCCTTTTTGTGTTGCTTTCTTTCTGTAACAGGTGCATTTATTACTATTTAAAAAAATAAACTTAATTCTTTTTTTGAAGGGGAATTTGACAGTATAAAACTGACTGTCATTGATTCACCTGTCATTGAATCTACTGAAATTAGACCAAAACAAAGTATTTCATGCAAACTAAAAATAATCAATTTGTATTTAACTATGTTCACCACCATCCCTCGCTGCAATGACACAAGGTGTAACACAAACTACCATTGCTGTCAGGTATAGCTATACAGCCATTTATTATGTGTAATTAATTTTCCTTCTAAAAAGTGCAAGCTAGTGAACAAATTGACAGGTTACTTTTAAAGGATTTGCCCCTCACTCACCTTTCCCTCCTACTAGCAGTCTTAAGCCCAGAATAAGCCCACGTGAACCCAATTTAAAAAGAGCCCAGGGAGCAGTGATGTTACCCCAGCCAGTTTTACAGAACCAGGGTGGACCACAGAAGGTAATGCCTGTGTCACACCATCATGAGTGGTAAATACTAGCATAGCCTTTTATTTTCTGGTCTCCTAGCCATGAATATACCCTTTAAGAACTATTAGCTTCAGTGAGTACAAATTATTCTAAGTAGCTAAATTTGGATATATTTTTTGCGAAAATTCTCTAAGTATTCTTATCTGGCAGTAACAGAACCCAAAACAGCAAAGACAAGCAGAGCTGGAAATGGACCTCGCTCTGGCCTCTCCCTCACTCCTACACTCACTCCCTGAGATGGGATCCTTTTGGGGTCATTCTTTGTAAAACTCTATCATTAGAACAATTACAGGAGTGTGATGGCCAAGTGGACATTTCTGCTTTAGAGCAAAACAAGAACCTCAGAGGAACACACCTCCCACAGTGGCCAGGAGAGTCAATATAAAGAAACTAGAGGCCCAGCACACAAAAATTTGTGCACTGGGTGTGTGTGTGTGTGTGTCCCCTCAACCCGGCCTGTGCCCTCTCGCAGTCTGCGACCCCTTGGAGGGTGTCCACCTGTGTCCCCAGGGAGCGGGCCTAAGCTGGCAGTCAGACATCCCTCTCACAGCCTGGGAGCCCTCGGGGGATGTCCACTTGCCACTGAGTCACCCGGGCCAGGGCAAAAAGCATACTTCCTGACAAAGAAAACCTACAGCACTGTAAGTTCACTCCAAAGACTACTAAAAAGACAGGCAGTCTGGGGGAAATGGCTAAACTAAATGTCTAGCTGCAGTCGGACATCCTTTGCGCTGCTGAGGAGGCAGGAGAGGCTCCTGCCACCACCGCTGTGCTGGCAGCTGGCAGCCTAGCTTGTGGCTACGCAGAGCTCACTCTGTGGGAGCACACTTACCACTAGGGGGCAGCTCCTGCATTGAGCATCTTCCCCCCTGGTGGTCAGTGTGTGTCACAGTGACCACTAATTTCCACTTGTTTTGCTGTTAGGGTCAATTTGCATATTACCCTTTTATTATATAGGAGGATAGAGGCCTGGTGCACGGGTGGGGGCCGGCTGGTTTGCATTGAAGGGTGTCCCAGATCAGGGTGTGCATCCCGCTGGGGCGCCTGGCCAGCCTGGGTGAGGGGATGATGGCCATTTTCAGGCTGGCCAAGCCCTCCAGCGATCCAAGCTCCCAGCCTCTCCTTTTCTTCTTTTTTTCCCTGGGATTTATCTATCTTCTATAATTGAAACTTTGTAGCCTTGAGCGGGGTGGAGGGCAGGCCACAGCAGGCGTGAAGCTTGGCTTCCTCCATCGCCGGGGGCAACCCAAGCCTCCTGCTTGCTCCAACTCCATGGCCGCCATCGCCGCCGCCATTAGTTGGGTTAATTTGCATACTAGCTCCTGATTGGCTGGTGGGCGAGGCTTGAGCATAGCAGAGGGATGGTTATTTTGCATATTTCTCTATCCTATCTAATAAAAGAGAAACATGG